GACTTAAGAGGTGGCCAGATGATATATAAAAAAGATTATGTACCAGACAAAAAAAATCCAACATCATTTACTTATAATATATATAACAAGAAAAAACATGAAATAATTAATTATATCATTAGTTTAAGACATTTTGAAGCATATTTTTTAATAGAAAATCAAAATAATCATGATTGAAGCTTTACATATTGAAATCAATTATATATTTAAGGAACAAAGAAGCAAGTTTTATATTTATTATAAGGAAAAGGAAACAATTTGTTAATTAATTAATTATATATATAATTATTTAATTAACAAATTGTTTCCTTTTCCTTATAATAAATACTAAACTTGCTTCTTTGTTCCTTAAATATATAATTGATTTCAATATGTAAAGCTTCAATCATGATTATTTTGATTTTCTATTAAAAAATATGTTTCAAAATGTCTTAAACTAATGATATAATTAATTATTTCATGTTTTTTCTTGTTATATATATTATAAGTAAATGATGTTGGATTTTTTTTGTATGGTACATAATCTTTTTTATATATCATCTGGCCACCTCTTAAGTCGTAATTACAATCTTGGCTCTGCCCTGAATACTTTGTTATAGATTTGATACCTTATATAAGTCGATAAATAGGATGATGACATGTTATGAGTTAGGAGAAGTTACCAAGAGAAGGATCGAAGCCTCTGGATTGAAGCTCCCTGTATTCTTGACAGAGAGCACAACAATGACAGCATAAATGAGTGACCCAGTCCAGTGCAGGACTCTCTGCAAGGTTGAACTTGTTCCTCAGTTTAGTTCGGTACTCTGCTGTCTGTTTACATAACCCATACTTCCACTTGCAGCATAAGCCTATTCCCACGCACAACCCGAAGCACATTCCCATGTAAAGCATTATACTAGTACAACATGCTTTATTAATTTGAAGCAGCAGAAAACCATGTGTTAATTTAATTGGTAATAAAATCTATAAATTAAATTGGATTTATAAGAAACATAAACAAATAAATAAAATAAAAGAAATATTTCAATGCTTACCGATGTTGCCATCATCTACCATTTCTGCAACCTGACCAAACGTCACGCAAGGGAGTAAAGCAGTTACGAGAGCTGAAACGCAAAACAAGTTCACACGTTACAAATCTATGGCTGCGATAAGACATTTACGCAGTTCAAAATGAAACCACTGAGTTTGAAAGAGAGAGAGAGAGAGTATCACCATTGCATGGATTATTGCAGCAAGCAAATAGCCCACTTTTCCAAGCTGCACCAGGCTGACCTGTTGGATTAGGATCTGGAGGCTGTAGTAAATCTGTCTCTGGTAACTTTGATTTATCATCTTCTTGTTCTGTGTGAACACAGGGTTCAGAAACTGCACCCAACTCTTCCATTAACGTCGACTCTTATTTCACCGAGTCTTCGCTTGGAGGGAGAGTAGAGAGGTAGCTCAGTATTATATAAGGACTGCTAGCAGTGTTCATACCAAGGATTTAAAACCCCACCCGAGGGCCAACCCGGCCAAGCCACCGGGTCACTGGTTTGATGAAGTCATTATACGATGTCAGCACGGTAACATCAGTTTGACGTCAGAATTTTTATTAAAAAAAAAATGCAGATTTTAATCTTTATCTGTGATAATAAAAATTTTCCTTAGCAAATATATTCAAATTTGGAATGAAATTAAAACTACAAGTCTACAACATAACAAGTTATAAAGTATAAACTATAATTAACAAGTAGTTTAAAATTAAATTAAAACAACATAATCAAAATGCAACTAACATTCTACATTTTTATTACATTTTAGACACTAGATCCATAAACAAAATTACTTATATCAAGATTATCTTTGTCGTTGTTCTCGTCATTGTCATCATTAGCATAACCAGCATCTACAAAAAATTGTAAACAAAAATAAAATTATTAGTTAAATGTTTTGATTATAAACTAAATTGTAATATAAAATCCACATCATTTTAGAAATTTAAATGTATAATTATACATAAATTGATATAAAAATGCATTCACATATTTAGTAATTATACATTGGGATAACTTTAATAGTCATATTTTTTTAATTTAACTTTTAACGTTATGTTTGAGTTTTTTGATTAATTTAAATCTAATATATTTCTAAAATGTATTAATTACGTTAATGGAATTGAATAATGTCTATTTAAAATACTTCGTGAAATTACCATAACGTGAGCAAAATGGTAATTAACATTCGAATATAGAATAATGCTATAGACACCAAATTTTTGCACCGAAGGACGTGACATCCAGTCAAACGCTGTCACATTGGAGAGAAAACATATATTTCTTGAATGAACGGTCGTCCAACAATTACGAATGTCTGTCCATATTTGATGGATAGTCGTTCATCACGAATGGATGAACGTCCACAAAAAAGACAATGGACGGACGTCCACCTCATATAGACGCCCATCTATAAAATTATAAAAACAAAATGATGGGCACTTGTCCATAGACAATGGACGACGGTCCATCTTATAGGGATGGTCATCTATATATAATGGACTATCGTCTATAATTTAAATTATAAAAGAAGAATAATGGACGCTCAACTATATTATGTGGACGAAAATCCATTTTCAATGCTGGTGAAAGAGAGAGGAATTTTGTAAAATCATTTAAAAGATGTGAACGTGGGTTCAAATATCAACTTTAAGTCTTAAACAGTGAAGAATTCTTCAGTTTTATCTTTTATGTATGTGGATAACATATGGCTGCCTCATGTTGACTATGGGAAATGTGCATGGAAATAGTGTCGGGTCCGTTTGTTTTATTATTTTGGATAAAATTTTGGGAATAATATTGGGTAGTTGAATAAAAGAGTATTACGAGGTAAAATTTAAAAATTAACAAAAAAAAACCTCGTAGGTTTGCTAATTTAACTAAACACCCCAATATATAAAAAAATTGTGAAATGACAAAAACACCTCCACCCACCTATAGTGCCAGATTCCGGCCACCACCACCGGAATCTCGCCGAAAAATGGCGTTACGACTTAGATCGGTCGGATCTGGCGAGTAAGGCATTGATATGGCCAAAAAAATGCTAGATCTATAGCTAGATTTGGCCGTCGACGGTCGGAAAAGTCCAGATCTAGCCGCCAGCGACGGCCAAAGATATGGCCGTTGCTGAGAACCAGATCTGGCATTTTTCGGCCAAATCCACTATGGATCTGGCCGGAAAAGGCCAGATCGGTGAATTACCGGCCATTTTCGGTCATTTGTAGGTCGTTGTGACAGATTTTGGCTACCACAGACGATGGTTGCCGAAATCTGGCAAGTATGGGTGGATGGGAGTGTTTTTGTTAATTTTTAAACTTTTTTGGGGGTATTTAATGAAATTAATAAACCTAATGGGTCTAAAAGTAATTAAAAAAATATACTAATATTTCTCAAATAACAAAACAAACAGGCTTCGTTTGGTTCGCTTTAAAAAAGTTAAACAGTAAAATGTCATTATTCCCAAAATATTATTCTATATTTTTCAATTTCTTTTAATTCTCCTAAATTTGTTAATTTAAATAAACACCCCCAAATATTTTTTTTAGAAATTGCAAAAACACTCCGTCCACCCTTTGACGGTGGTGGCCGACAATCCGTATTTAATGGGTGGGTTGAGGGTGTTTTTGTTAACTTTTAATATTTTATTATAGGGATGTTTAGTAAAATAACAAACATAGGGGATATTTTTGTTAATTTCCAAATCATACATCGTAATACTCGCCCAATTTAACTTTTTTCAAAAGATTATTCTAAAAACTATCAGAATAATGAACCAAATGGAGCCACAATATTTTGGGAATAGGATTGAGAATATGGGTAGAAATAATGTGCCAAACGGAGCTGATACTATTCTATTTGGCATTTGCTAACTTTTCTTGGAGAGAATTCATAACTTTCAAAAAATACTTGTACTGATCACATGATACAATTCGAATATGTGATAAGAAAGGAGCATATTCCATGGAAGTTTGATTATAAAAAAAAGTGTGATATTGCAATTTATAAGCCATAAAAATAGACTTGAAATTATTGTTTAAATCTAGTTAGTTAATTAACAAGCTGACCAAAATCTTTGAGTTATTTAATTGTGGATATAAACATCAAACATCTACTAATATCTAAATGATATAATTAGTTTGATAATGTTGTATAATATTAGATCTAAATTATGTTGACGATGTATGTATACTATTAGATCTATTATAAAATATCTTAATTATGTAAGATTGAATCCAATAGTAGATGAGTATGCTCTTTGATAAATTAATATCAAATCATCTTGATTAGAGAAGAGAATAATATGTACTAGTCATTTTAATCAAACGTTTGATATAAATTTCATAATGTCATGCTTAATTCAGCTATTGGATTTATCTTATTAGACTCAAATGATATTTTATAATTGAATTCACTTATATATATATATTATATATATTCATGGTGTGACTTGGGATGAAGCCAACTAAAACATTATCTTATAGCAAATATTTGCGCCATGGAATGATGGAAATGGAAGTAATGAACGTAGATAGAGACGAAAACAACTAAAACATAAATATTTTGTGGTCATCACTTTAACTTTGGTCGCATGCATCAATTTGCTTTTACCACACAATGAAAGATGATGATATATATCTGTTAGGGAATTACGGTGATGAAAGAACAAGACTCCACTTCACTGTATATTACTTTATTAACAGTGTGCTTTTCAATTATTGATGATGAAAGACAAGACTACCACTTCAATCTTAAACAGTGTGCTCTCTTCAATATTGATGAGGAAAGACAAAGACTACCAGTTCAATATATATTACTTTATTATAACGTTTGGAATTTGATCTATCATTTTTTGGGCATTTCTTGCTTTACTGTACTTCTACAGATTTAGTTATTTAATTATGTCTGAAAGTTTGTTGGGTGTTGCTTTCTTTGTTGACTAATAAAACATTTTAGTCTTTCAAAATAATTTAATAAAAGCTAAACTCTTGATCTCTTTTTCTCTCTCGCTTTTAAAGCCATCTGGCCAATTCCCAAGCAGACTCCTAAATCTATGCAAGAAAGTGACCTCATTTTGTTCACCACTATGTACTTCCACTTGGGTTGAGTTTGCATCCAATTTTCTTGATTCCTGATGACTAGAAAATGGAAAATCTTTATTGGCCTCGGTCAATATTGGATTTCAACAATTATAGCATGATAATTCAGCTATATAATATTATTCAATGCTAGAAAATATGGACTCTTTATAACACAATTAAGTTAGATATAAAAGCCAGCATAGTAGTTAGAAATATGATTAGGGAGCAGATTTGGTAATACTAAAATTTATGTAAAAAAAAAAAAATAGTAAAAATATGGGCAAAATATAATTCCATATTCATTCAAATATTTCCACCAAAATTACCAACTTTTAAGTTTTTACTCCACAAGTCTTTTCTGTTTACAAATCCTGAAATTTAGTGTTTATAAAGTTCATTACACTAACAAACGATTTTTAAGTCTACGGCCAAAAATTGCAGAATATTGAGAAAATCTCTTTTGCTACTTCTAATATGGATGTTGCTTTCTAGTATGAGTTGACAGCATTTATGGATTTTGAAGGGTCTCCCTGGTTTTTGGTGCACTAGTCCGAAGGGATGGTGTGGTATCGAACAATGGTCATAAAGAATGTATAGATGACAGCTGAGCAAAAAATGAACGGTGATAAGACACACACTTAAATCTAAAAATTGGTATGTATGGGGTACAGTAGCTGTGGAGTTGGAGATACAAATATGAAAACTTTGTACGGGAGCAATGATGGATGTTGGTAACACTGTCCTAACAACGTTTCTCACTATTTTTTTATAAAAAACGTAATATATAACTCGTAATTGATCAGTTTATAATGGGTTTTACCTCCTCAATAATGAATCTCCCCTGATCAAATACAAGTTGATTAATTACGAACTATCACGTTGTGTTTGTGAGAGAAAATGTTTAAGAAGTGTTTGTCAACTTATCTTTATTCAATCAATTGAAGCAAATGAAAACACACACACACACACAAACACACACACACACACACACACAACACATATATATATAATAATATATATATATGAACATAAAATAGACAATTGTTTGCCTTATAATATTCTTAGGGGGCATTTGGTTGAGGGTATAAGATTATTGAGGTTATGTCATCTTATATTACTTGATTGTCATATTGGTGTAAGTAATATAAGATTCCGGTAATCTTTTAATACTAATAGTAGCTACTTTTGGTAATATTGGAGGATATCTGATAACCTCAATTTCTTAGTATTAAAAGTTTACCAAGGAATCTATTTTTGTTACAATTCTTTCCTTATAATAAAATTTTAGGGTAATAATACCCTAATTTAAAAATAACTTT